CTGCTGCAGGAGGTGCTCTGGGATGCTGTGGAGCTCGCTGAGCATAACCAGCACCTGCGGGATGCCAGGCAGGTGTGCCTGGCTGATGCCACCACACAGACACCCTGAGCCACATCCCGAGGCATGGGGACAGCCGTCCTGGCACGATGAGGTCCCTGCAGACCTCCTGCAGTGAGCCACCAGCCCTGATGCCAGGGGACCAGACAGCCCCAGCAGTTGCCCTGGGCACAGCCTCCCCTCCTGCCCACTCCAGCTGCTGCTCCCTGTGGAAACCTGGCTCAGGGAGGGAAAACCCAGCTCTATGCCAGGCACAGAGGGAGAGCTGGCAGCCCCCAGCCGCTGCCACGGGGAATAAAGGCGATGCCCCTCAGCCACGAGTGCCTCAAGCTTGGACACACTTCCAAACCTCTCCTGAGGGACACAGACACTTCCTGCAGGGGTCAGACACAGGGACAGATACACAGTTGCTGTTGAACCACAGCTTTAATACCCCATCCAGCACCCACGGAGGCCTCTGCCTCAGGAAACTTCATACAGATTTGGGTAGTGTCTCCCTTTTGGGGACCAGGTTAAAGTTCCCACATACTCCATTCCCTCTCTGCTCCACACGGACATTGCCCCTGAGAAAGGGAAATGAGGCCTGAGGGCTCTAGTCAGGAGCTGGGCTGGAAAACCATGGAGGTGGGAGAGGCCTCGGCCAGGAGCCTTGGGAATAGGGAGGGGGAAGCAGAATCCATGGGAGCTGAGACAGCACCAGCACCAGGAGGGTGCAGCAGGGCTGACTGCTGCAGGAGCATTCCCAGGCCACTGTGGTGAGGGGAAGCAGCTTGAGGACATGGAACACAGAATGAATTAGGTTGGAAAAAACCTGTGAGATTATAAAGTCCAACCTGTGACTGATAACAACCTTGGCAACTAGACTAGAGCACCAATGCCACATCCAGTTGTGTCTTGAACACCTCCAGGGATGGTGACTCCAACACCTCCCTTTGCAGCTCCTTCCAATGTTTAATTACCCTTCCTGTGAGGAAATTCTTCCTCATATCCAATCAGAACCTCCCCTCGTGCAGTTTAAGACTATGAGACACACAGCAGGGCTCGGGACCCACCCTGAGGCTGGACACACTGGATCCCATCCTGTGGAACAAGGTTCCTGCCAGGCCAGAATGCAGCTCAGCTTCACCCCTGGAAGCAGGGACAGGGCACACTCACTCTCAGCACTCCTCCTTGAGGGGTCCTTGGAGTCATGCAGGTGCCCACCAGCAACAATTCCAGCCCTGAGGAAAGGCAGAGGCTGCCTGGACACACGGGAGGGAGGCAGCAGCTACATGACCCCATAGTACAAGTGCACAGCAAGGCCGATGCATGTGACAGCCACGAAGAAGAGGAGGGTGAGCTGCAGGTTGAAAAAGGCAACGGAGAGGAGAGCATTGACCAGGATGGAGCAGGAGATGATGAAGAGCCTGGTGATGTTACTGCTGTGCTTCATCACCACGGACATGATGAGACCATTCAGGGCCTGGCTGAGCACAACCAGCAGCAGCCAGGAGGAGAAGCCCTCCAAAAACCCTCCCTGATTGCCGCTCCACAGGTAACCCATCAGGTTGAGCACGACCCCAAAGAAGTACAGGAAGATGTTCTGGAGGCTGAGGGGCAGTGCTTGGGATTTCAGGATGGCTTCTGTGTAGACAGCAGACAGGCCCGATATGAGGCAGTACACACAGAGCAGCACCAAACCCACGGGGGTGATATGCAGGTGCATCTCAGAGGGGCTGCCAGAGCCCTGCAGCCCCCCCCAGCTGTAGCTGAGCCCTGCAGCCAGCAGCAGCAGCAGGGCCAGCCAGCGGCGCCTGCCCAGGCTGCGGCGCAGGAGGAGGCTGTAGAGCAGTGCAGTGCTGACAATCTTCAGGTTACTGAGCACCTGGAAGGTGCTGGGATCCATGAAGAGCTGCATGTGGACCACCAGGTTGTTGTTGGCAGCATAGAGCAGGGCAGAGAGGGCGAAGGGGGCTGCGTGGCGCCAGGACACGGCAGATCCCAGCGGCTCCCGGTGCCGGGCCAGCAGGAACAGCAGGGAGAGCAGCAGCTTGGTCAGCTCCACCAGGACCACCACAGAGGCAGAGCTGAAGGGAATCACCCCATCCACCTTGCAGTGGGTCAGGAGAGGGGCATGGGAGCCATAGATGGCCACAGACAGGAGCAGCATCAGTGCCCACAACCCCCTCCGGAGCAGCCTGTTAGCGGAGCCAGCAGCATTCCCAAACATCCCCATGTCCAGCCAGGAGCCATCACAGGTGAGCTGCTATCAGTGCAGGGAGGGCAGACAGACTCTCACCCTGCAACACTGCAGAAGAGACCAAACACCAAGAATTTAATGAGCCTGATTGGAGCAGGATGTTCCTGCTACATTTCTGATGCAGCAGGACAGTCTCTTGTCAGGAGAAGATCTATAAGCCTTGCTGGGAAGGCACAGAAAGCACATTCCCAGGGCACAGCGTGGGCTGGGTGGCAGGGCACATGGGTCACAGGTCACAGTAGCCCCACAGGTGACAGGTCACAGCATTAGCTGCGTGTCAGGGCACACAGGTGACAGGTCACAGCAGCCCCACAGTCCACAGGGGCACAGGGAAAGGGGGAAAAGGCAGCTGGAAAACCGTCAGTGCTCCCAAGCTGCTGTGGGTCAGTGATCACCACAAACAGCCATCACCAGGCCCCACAGTGGTGTGGTGCAAAGCCCTTTTCCAGGGAAAAGAAGGGAGCAGGTGAGGTGGCTCCGAGAGCCTTGGGAATGCTCCATTCCCGCAGTCCCTGCTGCCTCGGGATCCTCCTCTATTCCCGACCCTTCTTCAGCGCATCCACATAATCCCGGAGAGTCTTCTCCATGTTGGGCACAGCGTAGTTCTGGGCAACATAAATCCCTGTGCAGGTCCCAGCCACGAACCCCAGAATGGCCGAGAACCGGAGCTTGGCTACCAGGTATCCTGCCAGGAAGCCTTTGAGGAAGGGAGATGCCAGCAGGGAGCCATCCTGGGGGGGAGCACACAGTGAGGCACTGCAGGGAGGGATGGGAGGACACAGGGTGTGCCTCAGGGGTGTTTCCCCCCCCATGCCCCATCAGAGCAGGGTCTGGCCCTTACCTTCCCCACGCCAGCCTGCACCTCGTCCTCCACCCTGCGCTGCAGGCTCTCCAGCTGCCCCTTCAGGAAGGCAAGGTCCTTCACCTTGGGCAGCGAGTCCTGTGTGGGACACGGAGGGTGATGCATGGCTCCACCCAGGAAGAGAGAACTATCATGGTGCTCCCTCAGCCCAACCCCAGATCCAAGTTCAGAAGCAGCCCCAGCTCTAGCCCTAACCCTAAATCCAGATCCCAGCCTCAACCCCAGATCCAACCCCAACATCAGATCCAGACTCAGCCTCAGATCCAGATCCAGCCCCAATCCCAGATCCATATCCATATCCAAACCCAGATCCAACCCCAGATCCAGATCCAACCCCAGATCCAGATCCAACCCCGGATCCAGCCCCAACCCCAGCCCTAACCCTAACCTCAAGCACAGATCCAGATCCAGCCCCAGAACCAGCCTCAGCCCCAGCCTCAACCTCAAATCCAGATCCAACCCCAGTCCCAACCCCAGATCCAAATCCAAATCCAGTCCCAGCCCTAACCCCAGATCCAGCTCCAACCCTAAGCCCGAGCCCCGGTCCCGGCCCCCCAGCCCCGGCCCGGTCCCGGTCCAAGTTCCAGTCCTCCCGTGCCCTCACCTTATCGTCCGCCATCTTGGCACCGCCTCCAGCCCGCCGCTGATTGGCTGACGGCGAGTCACGTGGCACATACCCCTGTCCACTCGCGCGAGCCGTGTCGGGGTGTGAGTGCGTGTGTGTGCGTGTCTGTGTGTGTGAGTGCGTGTGTGTGCGTGTCTGTGTGTGTGTGTGACTGTGTGTGTGTGTGTGTGTGTGTGTGTGTGTGTGTGTGTGTGTGTGTGTGTGTGTGTGTGTGTGTGTGTGTGTGTGTGTGTGTGTGTGTGTGTGTGTGTGTGTGTGTGTGTGTGTGTGTGTGTGTGTGTGTGTGTGTGTGTGTGTGTGTGTGTGTGTGTGTGTGTGTGTGTGTGTGTGTGTGTGTGTGTGTGTGTGTGTGTGTGTGTGTGTGTGTGTGTGTGTGTGTGTGTGTGTGTGTGTGTGTGTGTGTGTGTGTGTGTGTGTGTGTGTGTGTGTGTGTGTGTGTGTGTGTGTGTGTGTGTGTGTGTGTGTGTGTGTGTGTGTGTGTGTGTGTGTGTGTGTGTGTGTGTGTGACTCTGTGTGTGTATGTGTGTGTGTGTCTGTGAGTGTGTGTGTATGTGTGTGACTCTGTGTGTGTATGTGTGTGTCTGTGAGTGTGTGTGTGTGTGAGTGTGTGTGAGTGTATTAGAGTGTGTGTCTGTGAGTGTGTGTGTGAAGTGTCAGTGTGTGGGTGTGTCTGTGAGTGGGTGTGTGTGTCTGTGCGTGTGTGTGTGTGTGACTCTGTGGGTGTATGTGTGTGTGAGTGTATGAGTGTGTGAGTGTATTAGAGTGTGTCTGTGAGTGTGTGTGTCTGTAAGTGTGTGTGTCTGTGAGAGAGTGTGTGTGTCTGTGAGTGTGTGTCTGTGAGTGTGTGTGTGTGTGTGAGTGTGTGTCTGTGTGTGTGTGAGTGTGTGTGTGAAGTGTCAGTGTGTGTGTGTGTGTTTGTGAGTGTATGTCTGTGTGTGTGTGTCAGTGAGTGTGCGTTTGTGAGTGTATGTGTGTGTGAGTGTGTGTCTATGAGTGTGTCTGTGTATGTGCGTGTGTGTGAGTGTGTCTGTGAGTGTGTGAGTGTGTCTGTGAGTGTGTGTGTGTCTGTGCGTGTGTGTGTGTGAGTGTGTGTCTGTGAGTGTGTGTCTGTGTGTGTCTGTGCGTGTGAGTGTGTGTGTGAAGTGTGAGTACGAGTGTGAGTGTGTGTGTGTGTTTGTGAGTGTATGTCTGTGTGTGTGAGAGTGAGTGTGTGTGTGAGTGTGTTTGTGAGTGTACATGTGTGTGTGGGTGAGTGTGTGTGTGTGTTTTTGAGTATGTGTGGGTGGGTGGTTTGTGAGTGTATGTCTGTGTGTGTGAGAGTGAGTGTGTTTGTGAGTGGGTGTGTGTGTGTGAGAGTGAGTGTGTGAGTGTATGTGTGTGGGTGAGTGTGTGAGTGTGTGTGAAAGGGTGTGTGTGTGGGGTGTGTGATTGGGTGTGTGAAGTGCGAGTGTGTGTGTGAAGTGTGTGTGAAGTGTGAGAGTGTGTTTGTGAGTGTATGTGCATGTGTATGTGAGTGTGTGAGTGTGTGTATGTGAGTGTGTGTATGTGAGAGTGTGTGTGAGCATGAGTGTGTGTGTGTGTTTGTGAGAGTGTGTGTGTGTGAGTGAGTGGTCAGAGGGTGCTGCTCCCTCAGGGCAGGGACAGGACACCCTCCCCAGGCGCTGTCCTGCCTCCCCCATGGGCACAGTGTGCAGTGCCTGCCCAGCCCCACACTGCTCAGTGGTGCCACATGAGCTGACACAGAGGGGAGAACTTATATCCTTAGGTGCATTCGTGTCTGAGGCCCCTTACAAGAACTCCCTGCTTTGAGGCTGACTCAGGCAGTTAGTCTTAGGTTAGATAGGTTCTTTTAGCTAGCTTAAATCTGTTAACACTACCCTGCTAATTCACTAACACCAGGATTCCACGTGCGTTGACAGCTGCCTGTGGATTACCTGTTCTGGCCCTTGGCTCGTCTCTGCTGGCCCAGAGTGCCTGGGAATGGAGTGGTGTCCCCAGCTCTGCAGCTTCCAGGGCTCACCCTCCGTGGGGGACATGGAAGAGGTGCTCAAGGGGTGTAAATCCCCTTTTACCTGAGAGAGGATCAAGGCAGAGTTGGTGTTTATTTGAGTTCTATTAGAATTCTAATATTTATTGGAAGTGTTCTGGGCCAGGTTGGACAGGGCTTGGAGCAAGCTGGGCTAGTGGAAGGTGTCCCTGCCCATGGCAGGGGGTGGGATGGGATGAACTTTAAGGTCCACTGCAACCCAAACCATCCTGGGATTTTATGATTCTGTCACTGAAATGGGGAGTAGAACTTAACATCAATGTAGCACTAAGAACAGACATTCTTTATTGTAGGCTGGATGCAGGAGGGATTGCCACATTTTTACTACTTACACATTTCAGCAAACAAACAAATCAGTGATCATTGGCTGCAAGTTACCTAACCCTTATTAGTTAGTGCTCTGTCATCTATTGGTTAGTGATTCTCTCGCTCCTCATGCTGATCAGTCTGCTCTGGAGTTGGTGGGAGGGCTTAGAATTGTCAAGGCTGGAGCAGCCCTCTAAGATCATGGAGTCCAATCATTAACCTGTCACTGCTGTAAACTAAATCCTAAGCCATATCCTCCAGCACCAGATCTAGATGCCTTTTAAACACTTCCAGGGATGGTGCCCCCATCACCTCCATGGGCAATTTCCTATTCCAGTGCCTGAACACTCTAACAGGGGAAAAACTTTGCCCCATATCTAGTCTGAATCTCCCCTGTCTCAGTTTATGGCTTCTTGGTGGGCTTCCATGGGGGGGTTTGGTGATCCCTAGTGGTTGTTGAACAGATGCCTCGTAGTGTCCTTCCCATGAACAGGAGTTGGACTGATGATCCCTGTGTGTCCCTTCCAGCTCAGGATATTCTGTGATCTCAGAGGTCTTTTCCAGCCTTAACTATTCCATGCTTCTGTGGGCCATCGCCAACACAAGGCTGTGCCTCAGCACTGTGGGGTGACCAGGGGTCCTGTCCCCTCATGACAGTGGGGACAGTGATGATGAGGGGCTACAGGGGGGACACCACTGCCCTGCTGGGACCAGACTGTGCCTGTGCTGCTGACACCCCATGTCACCTTCATGTGCCTCCAAAGTCAGAGATTCCTGAGTTAGAGCTGCTGTGGGACACTGCAATTAGAGCTAAAACAGAGCTGGTTTGTGCTATTGGAGATCTCAAGGAGAAACTGGTTATCCTGTGTTTGCCAGCTTGGGCAGTGAGTGGCCACTTCTGAGGTCTGGTTTTCCTGCCTCTGATCCAGCCCTGCCTGTGGTTTGCTCTGCCAGCAAAGCCTTTCACCTTGGCCCTGACTGTGCCCTTGAGCAGTGGCAGGAGCTGAGCCTTTGGCTGGCAGCACGGGGGCTGCTGGAACAAGATTGTGCTGTCAGATTTCCTCTGGGCTTGTGCCTGTCTTTCAACCTGTCCCCTGCTAACGTGGGCTGAGCTTATCAGCATCTTCAGCCCAGCC